GTATAAGGGAAGGTTTATGTGCAAATGCCCTGTTTCTCTCATTTTCCTTTGTCAGTGGCATGTATCTTTATAATCAGGATAAGGAAGAAGTAAAGAGAACACTTATATTTTGCCACTGGCTGGACTGAGTTGCTTGAAAGATCACAGGACTGCTACTTTGAAAACGTAAAATGTTAGCACATACGCTGTGACTGTTAGTGACAAATATGGAGTGCTGTTATGGCTCAGCCTCTCGGAGTGAGTGAGACTTCAGAAAAAGTTCTAGAAGGACCTGAATTAAAAACAAAAATAAAATAAAATGAAATAATCCCGAACTAACTCCCACCAAAAGATACAGAAAGAAACAAAGGCTACATTGTGACAAAGATAAATAATGTATCCTGAAGGCTGTATTCATTATATGGAAGCATTTATGGCTGCTTCTGTTCCTCCACTGATATATTAACATCTATAAGAAGTATACAATTCTTGTGAGAAATTTAGCTAAATAAAGACTACTACCAGTGGCCAGTATCACCATTTACACACATGCACGCACACATTTAAATTTCAGTTTCATCACATGAAATAATTTATATTCTCAACCAAGCAACATTACCTTGTAGTTTATTTAGTTTAAGTAAATTTTGCTTGCTAGCGATTAAACAAGAAACTCTGCTCTGGGCCAAATTACGGTCTGCATGGAGCACGTCACAGTGTGTGGTATGCACACTTGAATTCAGGCTGTCTACAGCCCCAGTTATAGACATTGCAATGAGTAGTCCGTGAACCGTCTCTCAGAAGACTCCTGCAGCTTTATGCATCAAAAGCTAGTTGAGAGGTGTTTCCATGGTTTTGAAGAAGAGCCAGAGTTGAAGTGCAAAAATGTCCTTTTAACAATCCTCTTGTGTCAATGCCTTTCCTTTAGCGTGCAGTGGGTTTCACCTTTAGTTAGAATTTCATCCAAAATGCATGAAAAGCTCACCTTGATTTATATCAAGGAAGTTGGAAGCTTGCTACTCGCCTGTTTTTTGGGTTTGTTTTTTTTGTTTTAGTTTTTCCAGTACTTGAAAGCAGCATCTGATTTGCTCACAGCCTACAAAGTTATCAGCATTTGTACTTCTTCATATACAAAAATGCTGCAGGCTTCAGTAACCTACCTTCTTGATACCGCCGTTCCTGTTACCAGGGCAGTTTGGCTCTTAAATGTTTAAAAATAACCTTTAAATAAGTAAAATAACCATAGGGCTAAGACAAATATAATAGCGTAGTAGGTTTTCAGTTAACATGAAGGAATGGAATTAGGTTATTTTTTTGTATGTTTCAGAGGTAAATGTGGTACTCTCCGCACACTGCTCTTTTTGCAATGCATATAAAACTACACATAGAAGCGCCTCATAACGGTATTTAGAAATTGTGTCAGTGTTTCAGACCTTGTACTTTGTATACACATGCTTAAAAAGGTTTTAAAGACAGTTGAATGCTGGCCTCTCATCTGTTGTACTTCCTCCATCCACTCCACTTCTATTCTGCCCAATTCTCACGCTGTCATTATAAAATACTATATCCCCAAAAGAGACAGACTTCCTAAATTGCCTATCATTCTCCTAAAGAGGAGAAAATTTGTGAACTGAAAAACACCTACAAATTAGCAGTGGTTTAGACAGCAGGAGTAATTAATGATATCTTGACTAAAATTGTCAGGAAAGAACATGTAGCGATTTGATTCTTGCTGCTGAAAAAATGTTAAACATTAAACAGATATTGAAATGCACACACTTGTTTAGATGTCCTTTTTTAAATATGTTGATGAATCGTCTCACTGTAAGTGCATTTAGTTTCTGTCTCATGAGTGTTCTTTATGTCAAATGACAAAATAACATTGTCCATTGTTATCATCACTGGGAACTTTGGACACAACATATAATAAATAGTAAGACTGTGTGACCATCTGGATTTTTTGGTACTGTAGCTACAGCTACTCAAAAGCTTGTGTTCATCTGGATTGTGTGTGTCTTGTTCATTCTCAGTACTGAGTCGGTTCAAGTGTGGTCAGAGCTTCATAAGTGTAGGTTGCACACTGCCTTCCACCTAGGCAAAAGAGGCCAAAGGTTTTAAATAATGTATGCTAAATTTACCTGTCAGAATTTACCTCTCAAAATTTCTGCGATACTAGAATATTATCTAGACAATATTTATTAGATACTTTCAGTTCAGGTGAGTGTAGTTAAGATAACAAACGGTTAACAAATTGAGACACCAAAAAATTTAGGTAATAAAGGTGCTGTCTACTTATATTGCTCACAAAAATATTTTGGTGTATGGAAGAGAAGTATATTAATCTTCCTTATGTAACCATGTAGAGGAAAGTATGTAAAAAGATCATTTATCTTTAAATGGCTTGAACGGTATTCTTAAATCTTTTCTGAAGTTACTGACCTTTCACTACACATTTGAAAATACAAATTCACTCCTACTATAAACTGTTGTGCAATCATGATAAATTTACATATATATATGTGTAACATGGATATGTAAAGATAAGCCACAATGAATGGCCTATTTAAAAAGTAATATTCCAGATCACCATAGAAACGGTAGTAGATATAATTGTTTTTAATGCATTTATCAGCAGTAGCAAAAAGCATTATCTGATAGATTTAGAAAATGTTAGAAAGATCAAGGAGTTAAATCAAATTCAGAGCAATTAAGATTATATTTTACAGAAAGAAAAAACAGATCTAGCTGATTTGTTGTTCTTTTTTCGGCTTTCCACAAAAAGGAACTCTAACCAGTATCATTCTGGTGATAAGTATTATGAAATAAGTATGTGCTATGCAGCACAGCTGTGTGGTTATTCTAAATGTTCAGGAGCACCTAACAGTAAACACAAACAGTGGCTTTAAAGATATTTCTGTACTGGAGTGTACTTTGATGGTAAGAAGCTGTAACATGCTCAATTCTGAGGTTTCTGTGCAACAGAAACCATACTGTACAGAGACACTCCACCTACAGCACTGTGGTCAAAAAGTTGATTGAAAGGCATTTTAGATGCAGAAAAATATGTTGAGTTAGTACATTTTATTTTCTGTATGTTTAGCTTTTTCTAAAACATGCTTATATATATATATGTTTCAACAAATGCATTGCAGTTTTCTGTAATCAAACATTAAAGAAGTGTTTGAAAGACTAGGGTTTTTTTCAGAATTTGAATGAAGTTTTGTTGCCTATCTTGTTATTCATTCCAAATATCAAAAGCCATTGAGACAGACAAATTTAGAAAGAGCTTACTATCAATTATGCATACTTGAGACCAGTGCTGTGGAAAGTGCGTTTTTAAAATGTTTGAATAATTGTATTTAATGGTAATCCATCTTTCCTTAACAGTACGTTGACAGAGGCTAAAGAGATTGAAATGACAATAAAAGGAATAACATTCAGTATACATTTGGGAGAATAAATGTTCATAGTATTGTCACAGAGCCTCATCTTTCTGAGATGGACTAGCAAATAGGGATTAGCAATACTTAAAGGTCACGTTTTCCATAGCCTGACGTGCTGGGTTTTAAGGTAGTCTGGGGTCTCAGTTAGCATTAACTTGCATTAGGAGTGTGACAAGATAAACAGCAGCCATATGAACCATGTACAGATGAATCTTCTTGCCTCAGCGTGAAAGTGCGGAGGTGCTACTGCTTATGGGTATTAAGGAGTGGTAGCAACAAGTGCAGGATTAGGCAGACCTATAAACTTGGTTACATGCCTGTCCTTGACATATTAAATACCTTGACTAAATTTTATTAATAATAGGCTTAGTAAAACTGTATTTTCGTCTTAAAAATTCTTGTACTGAAGAAAAAAAAAAGAATATTATTAGAGAAAAAAATAAATGTAAAAAAAAATCACAGTCATTGTATACACTTAATGGAAATCGCATATATGAAGAAACAGAAGAGGGAGAATAATTTAACCATACAATTAGCTTAAACAGCCTATAGTAGTTTCTTATTCTGAGTCACATATCTTGCTGGAACTTGTAAGCCACTGCAGAAAAGAAGAGGCAAAAAAAAAAAAAAACAACAACAATTTATTTGATGTGCAGGTCTTTCGTTGTCAAAACAGTCCCTGTGGAAAATTATGGTTTGGTTCAGAGTAACAATATTTTTCATACTGCCTAGGTTTTGCATGATGTCAGGGCATTAGCTGGCCTACTGAGAACTTATAAGCACATCCTGATTTTTTCCTATATAGTATGACCCAAAGTCCTTTGTACTAAAAAACGCCAGTTCATATTTCTAAGCATCTAATTTGAAATGAAATGAAATATGCTATCTCTGTGTTTAGAAAAGACCTTGTTTCAAATGTGGTATTTGTTGCTGGCCAGCTATTGTTTGTTCTTCTTTCATGCTTTATAATTCTCATTTCTCACATGAGTATTTGAATTTTTAACACTAGATATTTCTTCAAAACTATTGTGAGCATGTTTATATGAACAGCCTGTCTCTTTTACACTACTTAACTGCTGTATGAAATAATTTCTTCACTAAAAATCCAGCAGGAGGTTGGGGGCATGGAGTCAAAGTCAATCACTATCAAAAATACGAATTAACTGCACATGTTCAAACTATTTACAGCTGCAGATCTGAGGTGCAGTTTTAAAATATTGATGGGAAAGATGTATGCAGTATAAAGAGTATATGAATTTAAAAGTTACAGAGAAAGGTGCAGTACCAACACTTCGTAGTGCTACTTAATGAAAACGTCCCATGCTCTTTACCTGTACCTAAAGTTTTGTGCAGTGAGAATTAGGTATATTTCCTCACTTACATAACACACACATACACTTATATTCTATTTTGGAACTGTATTTGTATTTGTAAATATTACATTTGCCTTGTGAATGTGTCCAATTCAAAAACTACAGCAGTCACATATTATATTTTTTTTTTTAAAAAAGGAGGACTATAAAGACCAGCTTGAGGATTTTTGCCAGACCTTTTTTTCTTTTTTTTTTTTTTTCCCAGGTGACATTTACAAAGAGGAAATTTGGGTTAATGAAGAAGGCTTATGAGCTGAGTGTTCTGTGTGACTGTGAGATTGCTCTGATCATCTTCAACAGCACCAACAAACTGTTCCAGTATGCCAGCACTGACATGGACAAAGTGTTGCTGAAATATACCGAGTACAATGAGCCGCATGAGAGTCGAACGAATTCGGATATTGTTGAGGTAAGATTTTGTGTTCTGTGGGGATTCTTTTTTTACTTTGCTCTGAGACAGAGGTACTCAAAGTGAGAGGCCCGATCATCTTTCTCGAGGGTTGTAGAACATACCCTGGAGGTGACAGCAGAAGGAGAGCAGAACAGGGACAACGGAGTGTTGGGTTGGGTGTTGGAGATGGTGCAACAGAGACTGAAGGAAATCCATGTCCTTTGTGAGCTGTAAGTTTTATCCTGCTGAGTCTCACAGGCTCAGCAGAAACCCCTACGATGGGATCTCTGGCTCCCTGTCATCCAGCTTTCTGTGCCGCTTTGTCCCTTTGTCCCGTTAGTCCTCTCCATGCCTTGGCCACTACCTCCCAGCTGAACCTGCCCCATGTCTCCTAGTCGCTCCTGGTGACGTGCTTTCCAGAAAACATTGTGTGCCTTGTCTCCTCACTCCAGAAGTTATAATGTCCTCCATCCAGGAGGAAATGAAAAATACATTGTAAAAGATGTGGAAGAAAAAGATTTAGAATCACTGCTTTAAGGCATTTGACTGACTTGTTTAACATTTTTATTATTTGCAGAGGAAGGAGGTTTAATAAAATGCAAGAAAAGTAGTTTGCTTAGGAACTGCCCAATATCAAATGTTTCAGCTACCTCACACAGGATGTTGTTACTATAATATAACAGTATCAAAGCAATACTATCAGAATGCTAGACACACCTTGTAATTATTTTTTTAAAAACTATATAGGGCAAGTTTTATTTACAATTACTGAAAATTATTAATTAAATTTTAAGGTTTTCAATTTTATTCTTCTAATATTTGCAGAAAAGTCAATTTACTTTACAATCACATTAGGATTCAATCCATGCAAAATAAATGAAGCTTTCAATGATTTTGTTGTACGAGCAAAATACTCAGAGTGATATCTAAAAAATCGATTATGTGACTTATGCAACTCCTGTTTTCAAAGCACCTAAATGATGAGGCATCTAACGGTATCATTTTTAAAAGTATTGAAGGGATGAGGTCCTATCTTAAAGATCAGTGAAAATTTATTCATAAACGCTACTGCATACCTTGGCCTGTACACTTCGGTTATTTCAGATCTTTTTAAAGGTGTTAGTTTCAGATTTTTAAATATCCTGGATGTTGTCCGAAATGAGACTTTGGTGCTTTTTGGAATCTTCACCTGACTTAGTAATGTATTTGAGACTAGCAATGGAAGAAAGTAAGTGTGAGAATTACGTATAAAATGTTTGTGATGGAGAAAAAATACTGTATAAGACACATTGTTACACTTGTTACAAGGTGTCACAGTCACACCACCATAGATTGGCAAAGACTGCAACCCAGGAATATATATCACTTTTCTGTCTATCCTTATGTCAACATATTGGATGATACTGGTTTGCTTCCTTTGTGATCTCCCAGCAGATTTTCTCCCCCATTAGGAGAGGATGAGGTTCTGACAGCAGAACAAAAATTTATGTGAGTTAAGACTAAGAGGAAAGTAGATAATTTCTTCCTCCTCTCCATCATCTCTTTTCCTCTCTTACTTCAAATCTCCTATACAGACATGAAGCCTTTCCTGTCACCTAGCCCTGGTAAACCCATGTCCTGTCCAGCAGAGTTCAAATTCTGTCCCCAAAATAATGCCCTGTCCTCTTTTAGTGGCAAAAAGCCAGAATATTCTTAGCAGGAAAAGTTTCCTGTGATATCTTTACTTCTTCCTGCAGGCTTTCTTGTGGGAATAGGTGAGTATGCCAGTAGTTACGGATTTATTACTTGCCTCACAATGAATGAATGCTTTTGATCATGAGGACTATGGTTTTTCAAGAAACTTGAGTGAAAATGTAAAATTTAAAATAGTGTCTATTTTGTTGTATCTTTGAGATTTTCAGAGAGAGCACCCAGCAAAGTCCCTTTCCTGCAAAAATAGTGGGCCAGTTTGGATAGGCTGATAGGAAATTTTGCATGCAGACATGTAATTTTCTAGCTATACCAAAAATTTGATGGGCATTCCTTTTTGGTCCTCTAAAAGGAACCAATAAAAGTAGATAATTGAAATAAACATTATTGGAATTGAGTAATCAGCAATAGGCAGAAAAGGCCAAATTAATTGCATGTTTATAATTTTTCCATATGTTCTGTCAGCTCTGAATTCAGTCATTTGATCATTTTGCTGTTACGTTTTTCACTGTTCTGCATGTCATGCAAAATACTTAAGCCACGCCAATGTCAATCCTGTTTCAGGATCAAAGGAGTACTTGTGCAGGGTGTAGGTTTTGAACAAGGGTTTCATATTATCGTGCCTTTACTTGGTAATTAACATCACAGTTACAAGTACAATACAAGAATAGAGCCCATGAAAGTATGCAGTCTGAGAAATGGCTTGACTCTTCGTGTAGTTTGGATATATTTTTAGATACAGGATATAAATCTGCCACACAATTAAATATTTAAATTGATCAGTTAAACTGACTACATTACACGTATTTAAGGAGTCCATTTTTTTTTTTTCGCTTTCAGACAGCTAGATTTCACATTTACAATTTTTTAATCTTGTTCTTCCAGAGCAATCAACAGCAGCTGAGAATCAGACAGTATTATTAAATCTGATCATTTTCAACTAAATGACTGTTCAGTAACTATATTTCAGTGGAAGAAAAGGGCATAGCTGTGCTCACAGATTTCTGCACAGTATTAGAGAAAGAAAACTTTTTCAGGTAGTCTTATGAAAATTTGAAATATAACTGTCAACCGTCTGAAGATCTTTAATTTAGAATCCAATTTCTGTTCCCATTCAGCATAGTGTTAACTATTTAATTACTTTTTGGTTGTGGTAGAACTGTGTTATCAGTTGTTAGAATGTGATACAACTTCTTTGAAGAATCTGTATTCAAAGAAAATCGAAAGAGTAGGTCTCTAATATGTAGTTAATTACTTTTAAGTTAAACCACTGCTATCCAAATGGAAAAATTACATAAATTTTCATGTAGGTCTGGCTAAAACTGTTAATTTTATTAAGCAAATGTTTTCAGTTTAATTACTGGGATTAATTATATTTAGCATTTCTGAAGGAATGAGTCTTCAGGCCATAATTTGTTATTTGAAGTATTAGAAAACACCAAGTGTCATACATCCAACAAACATTACACTGTTTTTCAAGGGAAAAAATATTTTACATTCATTTTAATACTTGTATTAACTGCAAGCCAAGCAATTTGGTCCTACCCAGCTTATAGGTACATGATCTGATTACATCTGTCATGATGTAAAATGGAGTGGCTAATATTAAGAGAATTGAAGCTCTTTGAGCTCTTTTTGTTTAATGATGTAAACAAATAGGTTATACTTTCTTTCACATGCAGTAATTTTATTTACATGTAATAAATAGAACTGAGATGGTCTTTTCCAGTTGCCTCACTCAAAATGGAGTTCAATAACATGCAATTTAGTATGTCTGAGTTCTTTAGATCACAAAAATTATCTACAGCTGAGTGTGTTTCAGTTATTACCCAGTAAATATGCCATCTGCAGGTAACTAAAAGTCAATGTGTACTTGTGAAGGAGAAAATACTCGCATTCACACTCAAGTTTATCCATTTTAAGCAACAGTGACAATTATTGTGAGTCTTACCAAAATCTGTGTGGAGGTTTTATGATGTGTATTAGTTCTGAAAAAAAATGTCCATTCTGAGACTTCTGTTTAAAATTACCTGAATTCTTAAAACTGAAGCCTTTATGTCCTCACCCACCAAACCACTCACACCACAGTTGTTCATTCAATTTTGCTTCAGTTAAAAAGTGCATGTTGGTTGCTGGATAAAGTAACTCATTTTGAGGAATAGCAGAACCTGTGCCGAGTTCCTTCATCACTGAGGAAAAAAAGATTAATTTCATCTTTATGCTAACTTCCAAATACTGTATGTAAATACCAACAACAATACATTCAGCAGCTGTCATTTAAAATCCTGTGATATAATTGCTAGAAGATTTGTAATTCTTTACTTTAAAATGGGATTAACATTTTCTCTCATTACAAAATCCTATGGCATTTGGTACACAGTCTTTGGTACAGAAGTAGTGGTTTTTTACAACTAGAGTTCCAATCTGTCCTTAGAAGTTTGTCAATACATCCAGTTCCTATCTGCTCTATCAGAAAAACTTAACTCATGAGTTAGTTGTTTAACATTATCAGCACAGTTCTACAGGAGTAGGCAATAATTTTCGTACGGCAATGAGGAAATGGGGAAGAGTAAGTGTCAGAGTTTTACAACAGGCAAGTACATGCATTATGCATTTTTTGCATTTCTTTAAAATGTGGCCAGATCCTCTCCTTGTTTCTGTAGAACAGAAGTGGCTGTGACACTGCCTATTTCAGTGGTTATTTCACTGCCACGCTGTTGTGAGTAACGAGCATCCAGTGCCAAAGCACTGTAAGTCCACTGCTGAGGAGTTCAGAAAGTACATCACCCTTAGATTGTAAGGGACCTGTTTCAGAGTAGGAGGACAGGGAAATGTTTTGCATCTTGGCTGCAAATGTAATTACAACCCTAACCATATTATAGAAATTTGCTGTGGTTCTTTGGCTAAGCCATCAAACCTTTGCTGATTTAAGGTGAAACTTCCTGCCCGTTTTCTCTCTCACCGTCCCTTCTTCCTTGTCACGTCTTTCATGTCAAAGCATCGGCTACTGCCTCAGCTTCAGCAGACCTCTAGTGAATTTTTACTAAGTCCTGGTTTTGAATCTGTGTCTTAGATACTGATACGCTGATCCTCGCTCTGTGTGCACATAAATCATTCCTCCACAAATCACTAACCACTTCATCTTTCAGCTCTTTTTAAGCCCCCAATCCATCAATTTCTTTGACCCTGCTGCTTTTATTGTCCCTCTTTGTCCAACTGGTTTCTATTTCTCTGCTGATTCAGTGGTCACTACCTTTAACTCAAGTTCTACTACTAGTTCAGCCCTTTCAAATTCATCCAATTAAACATATCTTCCATTTTCTGGCCAA